TCGCTACAAGTAAGCGACGACCTGGAAATGCCTGGGCGATTTACTTCAGAATGTCTAATGCGAAGAGAGAACACAGATTTTATTACTAGGTAAGTTACTTGTAAAAAGATCTTTTTCCAAAGGATTTTCCTAAATTTTTTGTAGCTTCATGATAACAGTGCACAAATTTACACCTCAGTTTCCCTTTATAATATGAGCCTCCTGGGATTTGAAAGCATAACTGATGTTTAAAAGAATAATCCCAAGAAAATCTTCATGAAATTCAGTTTCGATAATATTTGACAAGAGATTAGAAGCTTTATCTATCACCAATCTACTTTAAGAATGTCCATCTGGGATTACGACAGCGGTTATCTTTGCAAATCACAGTTTGTTCGCAAATCTATCTGTATTTTTGGAATAGAGGATCTACAGTCTATTTCAAAATATCCACATTTAATGGTAAATAAGGTAAGAAGATCAGCTCCGTTCTTCTTCTACGTTTATGACTATTGAAAAAATGGGATTGCAGTGTAATGATGGATATTAATACTTGAAATTTTGTAAATTTGCAAAGCCATACTATCGTACAACATCCTACATCCTATAGTCTTGTTGCTGCTAAAATCAAAAAGTCATCTACAGATGTTGCCGGATTTTGACTACTCTATCGTTGAGTGCGTTCATGAACTAATATTCAACCGCACATTTCTTGAACAAGTTGATAACCCGATTATTGCGAATTATTATTCCAACATGGTTAATGTGAGTTGAAGTTATTTCTCACTTTATTTCGATTCTTCAAAGGGAATTTAGTAACACTTGTTTAAGGTTAAATTCCACAAAAATCGCAAAAACCCAGATCCGAACTGTCGACTAGAATGTGGTTGACAATGTGCAAGTAACATCGAACTGAGCAGGCTTTAGAAACAACGAAAATCTGTTTTGTTATCGCTTGTTGTTTGTATATTAACATTTGACTGTTTTCACTGTTTCAACAAATATTTAATGATTAAATCGTTTTTAATCTAGTTAAACCTGTCAATAATAATTATAAAGCTTAACTGGATACTTAAAGTAACAATAAGGACCAAAATGCACGAAAAATGAAATCGCGGCAATGTGAAAGAGCGCAAGTGAACATGCTCTCAATACCTAATAGAACAGAGCCGATATAAGGTGCACATAAATGAGCTGCTATTTTCCATATCTCAACCTCAGAAACACGAATTATGGTAATTAAATATCTCCACTGTTAACTAATTTAACCTTAAGGAGCAAAGTGCTTTGAATGTTTAACGACGGTCTTGAGTTGCAAATAAGAAAAGACTATTTGTCGCTTTTTTAAAATGTGAGGCATCTTTAACTTGAGGAGAAGAGATCTTGTAGAAGTGGTGATGTGTACAATAAACATTAATAGATGCAACTCAAAACCCCAGCCTCAGATCTGTCTACCATATCTGCAATGTGTT